AGAATGGCGCAAGGCTTACCGCACCGTGACGTCATTGCCGGAAGATGGCAGGAGAGGGGGGCTACTATATTTGGACAAAAATGGCCGCTCCCAGACTTTTTTTCTACTGATTAGCACTAAATTAATTAAATCATCGCAAATGTATTAGTTTTAGGTATAAATAACGATCAATTGATTATTCCTTTCTGACCGAACTTTTCCTTCTCTCGATGGAATAGCTCTTATTTTTGAAATCATCTTTAAAAAACAAACTTTTCTTCATTGTAATTCAGTTTATCTTTCTTTAATATTAACATTTATTCTCCTCTGACATTTCACAGCAACACAGATATGTGAAGCACAGAAAATGACCACAGACCAGGAGACAGTTCAGGTTGATGGAGAGCAAGAGACCAACACAAACCACCCAAATCTGCAGCCAACAGCAGGCCTCATGTTGGCCGAAGGTCTTTCAAGCTATGACATGGCTTTATACCTTGAAAGCTTCCCTTCGTCGGTACTCTAGCTTGGCCATCTCGTCTGCTACCCAGCCAGGGATATCAGGGATGGCGACATGGATGACGTACTTTAGGAGGATTGCAAAGTGCTGAAAACCCACAGAGACCACAGAGGGACAAACAACGCAGGACGTCAGAGTACAGAGACATTCGCTTTACACATTCTGAACTTGGATGGGTCAAAAAGTCTAGTGCACGCCATTAAACGTCTCACAGCACCTTCCTGTTGATGAAAGCGTGCAATAAATACCTCCAGTAGGACGATGGAGATGATGGTCATTTCAGGGCTCAGCCATGGGAACAGGCGCTGGAGCTGCCCACATTGACCAATCAGGTAGCAGTTCACTATGATAGCAATCAACCCCATGGCCTCCATCGCCGTCTGTTGGCGAGAGAAAAGGTCAAACAGGCTGTTGAGATGGAGACGCCTGAAAGGCATAACGGATGTTTCTTGGAAGCTGCCAACCTGCCACTGTCCGATGTTCTCTACCCTCTGTCCGAACGGTCTCTGAAGGCCGGTGCAGAGCTTCAGGGCGTCGCTGCGGATCTCGATAATGTTGTTGATCAGAGCGCACATGGCCGCCAGGGGAAAGGCCGAGGAGAAGAGGACCACATAGCCGAACTGGATGAACATCTCCTGGTAGTCCTGCAGGGTTCCCTGATCACATCGGACGACACAACGCTAAAACTTCGTTCCGCTGCGACAAACGTGGGATTTCTGCGAAACGCTGTGGAGGCGGTACCTCATATGTCTGCATGCAGCTCTCAATCTCAGCCTGGGTCATGGCGACAGTTTTGGGTTCTTCTGGTGGATCCATCCAAGATTTCTTGTCATCCTTCCCCGCTGCTACGTTCCTTCTTCGCTGACAGAAAGAGTCGGATTCTTTCGAAGAGGAAAAACTGACGTTTTCCCTGCTCTCCTGTTAAACACACTGCTGGTGACTGAGAGCTCTTGAAAGGAACACGTCATAGATTTTATTTTCTAGATTGTTGCTCACTTCCACACAGAGCCGACTCATTTCTATCGGTCTGCGCACGGACAACCATAAAGTGCAGCGGAACATGGGATTTCAAATTAATGCTGTTTGAAAAACTCAGTCTACCAAAAAATATGGAAAAATATTGAAAACATAAATTAATAAAATAAAATGTAAAAAAAAATGTGGAATATGAAATTAGAAAAAAATAATTACTTTGGGAAAAAAAAAAAATTAATCTGGAAACCAAAATCCAAAACAAGAATTAATAATAAAATAATGAAAATAAAGTCTGTAAAAAAAAGGAAAATTAAAGAGCATTTATAAAAAAAAATGGGAAAAAAAAAAATGACATGTGGAAAATAAAATCTAAAAAAAATGTGTCATATAAAAAAAAGGAAAATATTTAACTTGGAAAAAAAAAATTAAATCTGGAAACAAAAATCCAAAACAAGAATTAAAGATAAAACAATTAAAATGAGGTCTGTAGAAAAAAGAAAAATTAAAGAGCATTTATAAAAAAAAAGGGAAATAAAAAAAAAAACTAAATGTGGAAAATAAAATCTAAAAAAAATGTGGCATATGAAATTAGAAAAAAAATTACTTGGGAAAAAAAAATCTGGAAACCAAAATCCAAAACAAGAATTAAAAATAAAACAATGAAAATGAATTCTGTAAAAAAAAGAAAAATTAAAGAGCATTTATAAAAAAAATTGGGAAAAAAATAATGAAATGTGGGAAATAAAATCTAAAAAAAATGTTGCATATAAAAAAAGAAAAATATTTAACTTGGAAAAAAAAAATTAAACTTGGAAACCAAAATCCAAAACAAGAATTAAAGATAAAACAATGAAAATGAAGTCTGTAGAAAAAAGAAAAATTAAAGAGCATTTATAACAAAAAGGGAAAAAAAATAAATAAATGTGGAAAATAAAATCTAAAAAAAAAATGTGGCATATGAAATTAGAAAAATATTTTACTTGAAAAAAATAAAATCTTGAAAACAAAAACAAAAATAAATAATAAAAAAAATGAAAATGATATATGTATTTAAAAAAATGTAAAATTAAAATTTGAAAAAAATTAAATGTGGAATATAAAATCTGAGAAAAATAAAAATAAAAATCTAAGAAATAAAAGAAAAAAATGTAGTGTCCATATAATCTATAATACTCCCAGCATTAATTATAATAAAGCTATTTAGATGCATAAATCAACACGATGGCGATAGCCGTACTGCTCCACTTGAGAAATCAAAATCTTTTGGGCTTTTTTTGGCAACAAGACAATTATTCTTATTGCCAAATTACCAGACAAGACACTGTTAAAAAAAAAATGTAAAAATAAAATTGTAAAATGAATTAAAAAATAAAACAGAACACAACTTACACTCCTCTCAAACCCCATTTTTTTCCTTTGTTGTTTACTTTTTTCTTACTTTATACTTATTTTCTTGAAATGTATTTTTTTTGGAAACTTGTTCTTTAATTTCATTAATATTGAAACAGAAAAAAAAAGCTGGATAATAAATGCTGCTGACCTGAGACAAGGATTCACAGTCGCTGTCTTCATCACAGCTGTCAAAAATGCTGGAGGGATCCATCCCATCCTCCACCATAGTAGGACTGTCCTCCAGGAAACTGTCCTCCACAGCCCGCGTCTCTGTCTTCACGTTCTTGTAGTCCACCTTCTCGGTGAAGCTGACTTTCCTCTGCTTTATAACGCTGTCACTCATGTCCCACTCCTCCTCTGAGAACCTGAATCCAGCTTTCAGATCCCCTCTTCTCCTCTGCTCCTGGCTGCAGCCTGCAGCATGGCTGCTTGACATTTCTCTGGGACTCAAAAAGGAGTAGGAAGTCATGGAGGCCTGTGCCTTCCCCAGTGCCAGGCGGCCATATTTGAGAATGATGGCCTGAAGGAGCTCCCATAGCACCTTTGGGGTGAAGACACCGAGCTTGCTTTGTTCATAGAGATATGGCTGAAGGACTTCTTTGATGTTTTGCAGGAACTGGCGGAAAATCAGCAGAGTGGCCAGCATCTGAAAGAAAAAAAAACACACGCTATAACCTGTTTTCATCCACCAGAGAGACAGTTTCATCAGATCATTCAGTCAGATTGATTAAAAGTTTTCTATCTAAGGAAAACCAGATGATTGCATCCAGTCAGTGACTTTGTTGGATTTTCTTCTCCTGGATGAGCCTGTATGGAAGATTGACATTCCCTTGCAATGAGCTGAATTCATATCCAACATTCGTCTGTGTCGTTTACTCTCAATTTGTAAACACAATGCTTTGCATTAAACAAATGTCTGTGTTCAGCTTTAGAGTCATAGTTAATCATATGCTGTGACTCCATCCTAGGAATAGTTCTAGGAATATTTCTAGGAATGTTTCTAGGAATAGTTCTAGGAATATTTCTAGGAATATTTCTAGGAATGTTTCTAGGTATAGTTCTTGGAATATTTCTAGGAACAGTTCTAGGAATTTTTCTAGGAATGTTTCTAGGAATAGTTCCATGAATGTTTCTAGGAATAATTCTAGGAATGTTTCTAGGAATATTTCTAGGGATATGTCTAGGAATTTTTCTAGGAATAGTCCTTGGAATGGTTCTAGGAATATTTCTAGGAATAGTTCTTGCTAGAGATAGATCTAGGAATGGTTCTAGGAATGTTTCTAATAATATTTCTAGGAATAGTTCTAGGAATGTTTCTAGGAATATTTCTAGGAGTATTTCTAGGAATGTTTCTAGGAATATTTCTAGGAATGTTTCTAGGAATAATTCTAGGAATCTTTCTAGGAATATTTCTAGGGATATTTCTAGGAATTTTTCTAGGAATGTTTTGAGTCATAGGGAATCATATGCTGTGACTCCATCCTAGGAATGTTTCTAGGAATAGTTGTAGGAATGTTTCTAGGAATAGTTCTAGGAATATTTCTAGGAATAGTTCTAGAAATATTTCTAGGAATAGTTCTAGGAATGTTTCTAGGAATAGTTCCATGAATGGTTCTAGGAATGATTCTACAAATAGTTCTATGAATGTTTCTAGGAATGGTTCTAGGAATGTTTCTAGGAATAATTCTAGGAATATTTCTAGGAATGGTTCTAGGAATGTTTCTACTAATAGTTCTATGAATGTTTCTAGGAATGTTTCTAGGAATGGTTCTAGGAATGTTTCATGAATGGTTCTAGGAATGGTTCTAGGAATAGTTCTGGGAATGTTTCTAGGAATGGTTCTAGGAAATGTTCTTGGAATATTTCTAGCAATCTTTCTATGAATCATTCCATGAATGGTTCTCGGAATAGTGTTATAAATGTTTCTAGTAATGGTTCTAGGATTAGTTCTTGGAAAAGTTCTAGGAATGGTTCTATGGTTAGTTCTAGGAATGTTTCTAGGAATGTGTCTAGGAATGGTTCTAGGAATGGTTCTAGGAAAGGTTCTTGCAATGATTCTAGTAATATTTCATGAATGGTTCTAGAAATGGTTCTAGGAATTGTTCTAGGAATGTTTCTAGGAATAGTTCTAGGAATGTTTCTAGGAATAGTTCTAGGAATGGTTCGCGACCAGACCCAAGCAACATTTGATGTGTGCGGTTGCAGAAGTATAATTTGCCCTTTAGTCACCAATTTAGTGCTACCTGGTCCCAATGTAACTTCCCATAGGAACCTACTAGCACTAAGTTGCTAACTGGTTCGCAGCGATGTGTCTGACAAACTGGCCACAACCAAACTTGCTTGCGAACCTTCCACCACAACAATCCCGCCCTTTTGATAAAACACCAATCACATTAACTTTAGTCACTCGTGTAAAGCTGTCCATCACTCGGGAGAATTCGGAAGAAATGGTTGGAACAGCCGCTTCTCTACGACTTTAAAGCTTTCCTTCAAAGTGTTTGTGATAAAGGTTCTTACCTCCTTTAGTCGCTCCATGTCCTTGAGGTAAAATCCGATGTAGAAAAGACTGAGGTACGAATTGATGAATTCAAACTGTAAAAAAACAAGAAAAACATGAGAGGAAATAGAAAATAAAATGGCCTCCAATTAACCTCAAATAAAAAGAATATCAGGGGAACTTACAAAAACCATCTTGATGATCAGATTGTTCTCATAGGCACTCTTTAGCCTGTAGTTCTCTGGGTGGACAAAGGTAAACCGTTAGGGACAAAAAGGTTTCTCAAGAAGAATCTCAATTCGATCCGACTTAACTCCCCCCCCCTCCTGGTTTCCTACCCATGTCATTGAGCCAGTAGGCAATCTTCTTATACACCTCATCGCACACAGTTACAGTGACGGCCAGGAGGATCTTAGGGATGAACCTGGTGATACCAGGCAGCTCCTGAATCTCCATCACCACTTCCTGCAAAGTCAAAAAGTACAAAATCCTAGAATCGGGGATACTGAGGGATAATGGACCTACAGAAGTCACTTGCTTTCACTGTCAGGGAAATCCAAATTCACTGGTCGACCCTTTTTAACTTTTCAGTGGTAAAATAGAAAAAACATTTCTCAAGTTTTCTTCTGCCTCAAAACTTTTTGTCAGTCTTTCATATAAAACTCAAGGGAAATATACTTTTTGCAAGTAACTGTATCTGAATATGAACATATGTGGGACCTTAAAGCCGGGCATAGACTGTGCGATATTTTTAATCGCTGCACTAAGCTACAAGTCAACGTGTACGACGAATCCGCAGGGTTAAAAAAGTTCACAGCTCACGATGTTTCTTTCTCACACTGTGCGACCCGACGCTCTGATGCGATCTACCTGGCCACACTGTACGTCCAAAAACCAAACGTCGGACTGAGCGCAGAGAGATGGTGCTGGTTGGACTCGTCAATCTGGAAGAAGAAGAACTCCCTTGTTTGCACATGCGCAGTGCTCGAGGTTCTGGTAAATCGGCTCTGTTGGATTTGTCCATGAACACCTCGCGACGGCCGACTGAATTTCACACGTTTGATTTTCTCCCGAACTTACAATTTCTGATCGGGAGGTGGTTGTGAGAAGCTGATCGCCCCTCGTTACCCCTGTATACTACACGATGCACGATGAGGTTGAAACTCGGCCCGATCGGAAAAATTCTCGCACGACTGGAGAATCGACCCGAAAAGGGCAAAAATTCGTACAGTGTATGCCCAGATCTACGAGGTGAAACGTAATAAATTTTTATGTTCAATTAATGCCCTGAAAGTGTAAATGTTTCATTGTTTATTTCTAATACTACGTTCACATCGCACGTAATTGAAGCAGAAAAAGCAAAGTCAATAGTTGATGCGCATCAAGGTGCAACAAAAGGTCTTGCAGTGCTTCTAGAGCAGCAGGAGCAGCGCATCGTGATGCATCTGAGGCGTGTGACGCGCTTCAACGTGTTCCTCTTCGATGTCTAGCAACTCTAGATCCATCTCCATAACCATGTTATCTTGCAGACATTTTGCCATTGTTGTTTTGGAAGATAAACATTCCCGCCGCCGCCAAAATTCTCGTGACTATCTGCCGACGTTCTTGCAAGTTCTCAAATAGGCTCCCCCTTGCGCTTTGGCGGGAAACTGCTGTGCATCCCTAGAAATTCCACACCGACGATGCAGAAGCATACCAGCAAAACTGGTTCGCGACCAGACCCAAGCGACATTTGATGGGTGCGGTTGCAGAAGTATAATCTGTCCTTTGGTTAGCAGCGATGTGTCTGACAAACTGGACACAACCAAACTTGCTTGCGAACCTTCCACCACAACAATCCCACCTTCTTGATAAAACACCAATCACATTTATCTAGTAGCTAGTTTACATGCAAAGTCAATAGTTGATGCATCAAGGTGCAACAAAAGGTCCTGCAGCGCTTCTAGAGCAGCAGGAGCAGCGCATCGTGATGCCTCACAAGCAGCAGATGCTAAAGTTGGAAAAATGTTATGTTTGCTGCTCGAAGTGCTACATCAACCAATCAGAGAAGCTGATCTGGGAGCTGGCAGGGAGTCAGACACAGCGCTGCTGATGCAGAGCGCTATGATCACTCCTCTGAAACAGTTTATTAACGCCTAAATGAACTTAAAATGTAGAAACCTGCCAGCAAAATATGTTCGCTTTTATTATTCTGGATTCTGCAGTTTGAACCACATACCTAGCATCTACGCTAGCATCTACTTCCAGTCACCACCAACAGTAGGGAAAACCCGCAGTGGGGATTCCCAGTGACAGCGCATCACCAGTGTGTGGGCGACCGCAATATTTGAAGGCAGGATGGTAATCTGGATGAACTCTCTGCACAGAAGATGTTTTCAGGTGGACTTTCTCACTTAAAAACATATTAAAAGTACTTTTTATCGACTACTCATCTGGACACATTTTACTGGGATCGCTTCAGGAGCGTCAAAGAAGGCCTTTAGACGCATCTGACCCTGATATTTACAAGCTTCAAAACTGAAGCAATAGAAGCTTTTTTTGCTGCCCAAAGCGTGTCCGGTGTGAACGTAGCGTAACAGGATGGACTGAGACCTGCAGCTGAAGACAGAGGAGCATGGCGAGGAAGACGAAGCAAAGACAGAGCAGGCAGACGGGCAGGCTGACCAGCCATCTGAACAGAGCTCTCTTCCAGGGAGGGTAGTAGAACTCCTCACAGCCGGTTATGGGACTGCATCGCTTCACTCCCTGTGGAGAAAAAATCTGCATCAGGAACAGAGCAGCTAATATCTCAGCAGACAGGACACAAACTGCCTGCACTTTATCTTTAAATTAGCACCATGCAGACCAAGTTCAATCGGATTCACACTTATTTCCACCTTTTTTTTTTGTGGGAAATTTAGCTTACAGTTAAGAATGTTTCTAGGAATAGTTCTAGGAATATTTCTAGGAATAGTTCTAGGGATGGTTCTAGGAATGTTTCATGAATGGTTCTAGGAATAGTTCTAGGAATGGTTCTAGGAATAGTTCTAGGAATAGTTCTAGGAATGTTTCTAGGAATGTTTCATGAATGGTTCTAGGAATAGTTCTAGGAATGGTTCTAGGAATAGTTCTAGGAATAGTTCTAGGAATGTTTCTAGGAATGTTTCATGAATGGTTCTAGGATTAGTTCCAGGAATGGTTCTAGGAATAGTTCAATGAATAGTTCTATATGCAGGAGACATGTCCTCCCCAGCCTCCTTCCAAATTACGTCCCTGCCTGTAGCCTCTCTATTCTGTATTCTTGTTTCAACTTTTGTTAATTTCAGGGTGGGACCAACTGGAGAAAGTAGCCTATAATTGGCTACTTTTCAGGAAATATCATGAGACTGTCCTGTTTTTTCCCTCATGGCTGCTAGCATAAGAAAGTATCTTCAGACTAAAATCTGCTCTCTTAAAGAGCTAAATTCTGAATTCATATCCAACATTTGTCTGTGTCATTAACTCTCAATTTGTAAACACAATGCTTTACATAAAACAAATGTCTGTGTTCAGCTTTAGAGTCGTAGGGAATCATATGCTGTGACTCCATCCTAGGAATGGCTCTAGGAATCAGGCAACACGTGTATTAGTTCATGATGAAGCATCATGTCTGTTTTGCAAAGTATCCTAAAGCTAAACGTATCACAGTGAAGGCTAATTGCTGAACTGAGAGGAAGGTGCTGTCAAAGCTTCCATCTATCATGGACAACACCTTCCACCCTCTCCACCACACTGCAGAGGAGCTGAACGGCTCCTTTAGTGAAAAACGTTTACACTGTTTGTAAAAAGAAGTGCTACTGCGCTTCCCTGCTGCAACCAGACTCTACAATGCAACACTCAGGGGGGTTTACCATTAGGCAATACTAGGCAGTTCCCTAGGGCCCCAAGTTCCTGCTTGTTGCAGATATTGTTTTAATTTATGCCCAATATTGAATTGAATATATTTATTCCACGCCACAACACAAGAGGGCCAATCAGAGACCAGCTGTGGGTCTAGATACGGCCGAGGCGGTGAGGAAGTGGAGGCAAGTTTGTGCGACAATGGAGGGACATGAGGGCCAAAAAGAGCGGGGATCCAGGTGGAAAACAGACTTAAAAACTTCTAAAGATGAGGGAAAAAATATTGATCCATTAAAATATCCCAATATCTTCATATGCTGATATATTGCCATTTAAAAACACCATATCAATCTCTTTTACTAATGAAATATTGC